CCTAAAAAAAAGGTGACATTGACGATCTCTTAATAAAATTCACTATAAATCAAAACTTAATTAACCAAAAAAAATTTAAATAAACAACAAACCTGGCAACGGTGACTCCCAAAACCCCGAATCTTCCGATTCCAAAACCCTAGAATCATCCAAAGAACTCGACCTCGAACACCCACCACCAAACCCCTCATCCTCATCCAATCGACCCTCGCCCTTGAAATCGCTGCTCGTCATCTCATCCACCGTTACGTTCCGAGCTCCGATCGAGTTTCACGTTTAAAAACTATATAAAAACCCTGGAAATGAAGAGAAATTAAGTCTAGGGTTTTGGCGGCGAGATTTATTTCGCGGAGAAAACGAAGAAAACTTTGGTCGGGCCGAGGAGCGAAGACCGCGTAAGCTTATTACAGGGTCAAGGGGTTGACGATACTAGGTCTAGACTTCAACTAAATGACGGATGAGTCCTATGAATGAACGGCCGTGATTTCTTGATGGTTTAGATTAGGACACGTGGCTGGACCTGGAAACTCGAGTTTGACCCGGTGGGTGTGTGTTTTTTCGTTTCCAGCGTGGTCCTTTTCGGGTCTGGGATTGCCACGTAAGATTTTCTTTTCTAGTCCTATTTTTTATTTTTTTTATTTAGATTTAAAAATGCATTTTATCAACCACTTGTCAACAACTCCACAGCCAGGTAGATGGTTGCGAGAAAATAAATACGTCACCAAAAATAGTGGATCCTACAAGAATAATTTGTTAGTCAGGATATTTTAATATCATTGATTATATAGTTTCATTGTAATGTACTAATCTTTTTCAACAACAAACAATGTCTTTATGTAGAACTTTTAGAGTCGACTATATGGATCAAATGTTCTTTGATATCCTATAGCCTATAGGATTTATAGTCGTGCAATTATGATTGCATTTTACGCTGGTCATCGGCTACCTAACATAACCTTTCTTTTTTTATACAAGCTCAGAGCAAGTAGTATGCACGTACAAAGCCATTTATATATTGATTTTAGAATCGGTTATGCGAGTGGGTCGACAAAGGACGCCTCTCGCCTCGGTCTTGCGAGAGGGCCGATAAGTACCGACTTTTTAGTCGGCCACGAGAGTTATCAATCTGGCCTTACAGAATGATAAGATGTGGGGTCAACTCCAATAGCAATGTTGGCATGTTCTCTGATTTGGCTCTTACGGTTAAGGGTCGAGAGATGACTCAATGGACTCATCCTGCCTAGGGTCGAGTTCAGATAAGGCCCCAGTGATCTGGGACACTTGTTGACTCTATAGGGAGGATTAGCAATTAGGTTATATGATGGCATAACATACAATAAAATGTCAATACTTGCATCCGTGCGACTCAATGCAGGGCGTTCTGATAAGAAATGTACTATTGGCTTTATATGATAATGTAAAAAGAACCAGCTGCTGCAAGTTGGTCCTTGAAATAAAATGTTTAATAATACGTGGACCTCGTTTTCGTGAGGGACTTGCAATGAATGTCATCCTCGTGGTCGTGGGGAATTAACGTCAATGCTTGCTTGCTTGCTAAGGAATTATTATATATAACAAGTAGGAATTTGTTAACGAAATAACGAGTGCGGTCACGAGGGAGCGTGGGGTCCAGATAGAGGCCCATCCGCAGTAAATGGGTCGTTAAAATCATGCACAGGAAGGCCCAAACCGAAGGATTGCCATATCGAAATAAATTCCGCAGTAAATGGGTCGTCAATTCTTATAAGAATATAGTTTGTAAATAGAAATATTTACGATCATTGATTATAGTTTCATTTTATTGCATTCAAACCATATCTTTATATCAAAAATTTAAGATCAGCTACATGAATCATGTTCTTTCATATTCTATAGGATTTGTAGTTGTGCAAATATGATTGCATTTTACGTTCATCATCGACCTAATACAACTCTTCTTCTTTCATCCAAGCTTGAAACAAGCAGGATGCACTTAGACAGTTATATATTAATTTTATATAATTAGTCCCTGAAATAGGCATGTTTAATAAATACGTGGGCCGCGTTCGTGTTAGGGACGGGCAATAAATGTATCATTGTGGGGACTTAGCGTCAAGCTAACTTGCTTAGGCCCATGCGGATGGAGGCCACATCAAATAAAAAATTTCGTTGTTCTTAAATGTCCAAAATAAGGACCGGTTAAAAGTTTATTTTGCTCTGTTTTTTAATGGACGGGAAAAAGAGGGGGCAAAAACTTAAATCTCTTACAAAAATGGTAGAAAATCCTCCGACATCAAGTGAACGTTATGTCATCAAGTTTTAAAAAAAAAAATCAGAATTTGTACAAGTTTCAACAAAAAGGAAAGAAAATATTTCCACAAATTGCAATCTAGACGAATATCTTAACTCAATGGAATCAAAAAAGAATTTTACATACAAAGATTTCGAAAACACAACTATTACTTCTCTAAAAAAAACTGCATAACAGTAACCTACCTCAATCTAAGACCTGAAAAGTGAAAACTTATCAATCAGAAACAACCCACATTCTCAATCAAAAAGAAAAGTAAGTAAACAATAAAGAAAATATTCCGATAATTTGCAACCCCAAGTTAATATACTAATTTACAGAATTAACAAAAAATATACAACTAAAAGCTTTTTTTTTTAATAAAAAAAGCCCTTGTCCTTAAAAAAACTTAATAGAAAACACTAACTTACCTCAATTTGCATCATGTCCCCTATTAATCATTATCAACACCTCAACTTCCACCACCACCATTTCAAACAAAAGAAAGAAGAAAATAGGATAAAATTTTGAAATCAACCTTTCTGAGAATTTAATCAGAAAAAAATGATCCAATTAAAAAAAAAATTAGCAAAATCGACCACTCGATGTGAGAAAACGGTCGATTTTGCTGAAATGGAGTATCTACGATACACAAGACTACTAGTCCCGTGTAGTTTAAAGCCTTAATCAAGCGGCCAAATTATACAAGACTAGTAGTCACGTCCCATCTATTTCGTATACTTACGAACCTTAGCCCTAAAATCTCGTGACCCTCCCATCTTCTCAAGTTCTCCATGACCCAGCCACGGGCTATCGCGACCCCACCACCACATATCTCGCGACCCCGCCGACTATAGGTGCCTTCGACCACGTCTCGTGACCCCAGCCTCTGACCGCGCTCGTGACCACAGGCGCCTCCGACCATGCTTGCGACTACTAGTTCTGTCTATTTGCTTGGTATAGCTAATCATGGATTAGCACGCCCTAATCACACGAGACTATTAGTCCCGTGTAGTTAAAAAAAACCTCTTTAGCAAAATCGACCGTTTTTTGCCCAAGAGGGCTAAAAACGGGTCGATTTTGCTCATTTTTAAGAGAGAAGGTCGTTTTTGCTGATTAAATTCTAAAAAAGGTTGTTCTCAAAAATTTATCCTAGAAAATATTCTACATTTGCAATCTCAAGCAAATATCCCAGACTTTCACATCAACAAAAGATCATACAAAAAAAAAACAAGAAGACAATCTACACAATTTACACCGAAAAAACAACCCCTACAATTTGCAATGTCAATTTTCCTTTTCCAACTCTTAGAATTAACAAAAAATTGTACAACAACACCAAAAAAAAAAAAAGATTTCAAACACAGAAAAAACAAACGCAGCCCCTTCTCCTCCTTTACCCCAAAAAAAAAAAAGTTAAACAAACAGAAAACCTACCTTAATTTATATCCTCATTATTGAATCAATCATCACCCATCATCATCATCTTCCTACTCCCCACCATGAGACTTCCCCAAAGAATCAAGCCCCTCGGTCCTGCTCCTCACGATCCTGTGAAAGAGCTCCCTCACCTGCATCCAAAAAAAAAAAAGTTAAACAAACAGAAAACCTACCTTAATTTATATCCTCATTATTGAATCAATCATCACCCATCATCATCATCTTCCTACTCCCCACCATGAGACTTCCCCAAAGAATCAAGCCCCTCGGTCCTGCTCCTCACGATCCTGTGAAAGAGCTCCCTCACCTGCA